GAGATTTGGTTAAGGGTGTATAGGCAAAGGTTGAAGAATTATAAGCACAAGTATAGAGATTTGGTAGAGAGAGAGAGAGAGAGAGAGAGAATTGTAGAGAGGAAAATTTTTAAGCTCAAAATTTTATAACCTTAAAACAAGAGAGAGGGGCCTCCTATATATAGAAAACATGAAATTTCCTCAAGGAGATCCAGCCCTACACGTGGGGACAGATGCATGCATCTGTGCAAACAGCTGGCACAGCTGGCATAAAATATCTGCAAAATACACTGGTGGCCAGCTGGCCATCAGTGGTGGCCGACAAGCCACATCAATAGCCGGTAACCCAAAAGTGATGGCCGGTAGGCCACCAGAGGCTACAGGCTAGAAAAGCTAGGCTTGGTCCAAAACTAGGACAACAAAGGTATAGGGTTTGAAAGGCTCAAAGTTATGGCATTTCGCTGAGAACTTCGAGCACTTGGCGAGCATATAAACTCATCATCTGGTGTGCATGCGAGGACATCCAAGTCGTAAGGGTCGTCAAAAATAGGGTGTCTACAGGTGTTAGCACTAAGTCCAGCATGGTAACAGCATACACATGCCCTGAAGGTCTCTACTCCACCTACTCACTTATCGGAGCATACTTCTGATGTATTGATTGAGCTGAAGAGGCTTCCTAATTAGCTCTCGAGGACTGTGCTGACTATGCAGGCTGGTGGCTCTATGTCTGCCTCAAACCAGATGCACCAAGTGTGCCACCCAACTAAGGGCAAAACCTCTTCAAGTGCCCTGCTTGCCCACACTGATAACAAGTGAGCGACTGCCTTCTCTCCCAACTCTGGCTCTAAGAACGAGTCGCAAATGAAATTGACTATTGCCCTCTTCCCCTTTGCAGGAAAGCTGGAGACTTGTGACCTAACTGGCCACACTTAAAGCAAGTGAAATCTCCCTGACCACTTCTCCCAGAACCCAAACTCGGTACTAAAAAAGTGGATCTCAACTTAGCTCCCTAGGATTGTTGTGAGATAGAACCCCTATGCCTCTTATTGTCCCCCTAAGCATCCTGACCCCTCCTGGAGCCCCTTATCCACTCCTCCTCCATTTGCATCATAGTCTCAAGATGAGCTGCCAACTCTACAAATCGTCCGTAATCTCTAATCATTGAACTGGCTACCTTGAAAAGAAGCGCGGTCCTCGACCTTTTCTCAAACTCCACACAATAACGCTCCTCTATTGCCACTAACTCTGGTGATAGACTAGTAAATGTGGCCTCAAACTCGGCCACCGGTGTGTTCAACTGCTTGAGCTTTGAGAACTACTCCCTCAACTTCTTCCTAACAATGGGAGGTAAGAACTTATCCTGGAAGGCGTTGACGAAAGCCTCCCAAGTTACTCCAATGCGCCCACACGTATGCTTTCACCATTGACCCGCATCTCCTTTTAACTAGAAGGACACTTAGGTCACTCTCAAACCACCATCTTCGATGCTAAGCATCTCAAAAGTCTTCACCATTTTTTCAAGCCATTCATCTGCTTTCAAAGGCTCTTTAGGATCACCCAAAACCTCATCCGGGTTGGGCCGGAAGAACTCTCTCTTCAAGAACGACGGCCCTACCTCAGTTACTTGGGCCTAGACCTGATTCTCAACCCTAAGAATGTCCATAGATTCCCGTAATGCTCCGTCCATTTCGTGGGCCAAAGCGCCCTGGCCTACTGACCAACTAGTCCAGCCACATTAGCTTGACCAACATTTTCTTCTTGTGCCAGAATACCTTCTAGGCCAATAAAGGCACCTCATACCTTCTAGGCCAACCACGCCTACCACCACCACGTCCATGTCCTAACATTCTAATAAAGGTAACAAAAGAGATTATCATATATACAAATGTGCCGAGCTAACTCACTCACGTCCTAATGCAGTGGACAGCAGTAATTCACTCCATATAAGCACGTAGTCACATAAACACATACGAATTTTCTTCCTGGATAATGACCGTCCCGCGGCGTTGTCGAGTTACAATTAGAAACAGTAGTGATCAGGTGCTCTTCTAATAGGACTTCTAGAAACCCATAGACCCAATCAATATCTTAAGAATTAAATCTCATACCCATACAACCACAAAAGCATGTTATCACATAAGCATACCATACATACAAATATCTCTGTCAAGGGAGACAAACCCATTGTGGTAATAACCACTTCCCACGTACCCAAAATATTCAAATTCAGTACGATCTGATACCAAGTTGTAATGTCCCGAAATAAATGCCATATATATATATACATCCATCTCATAGTAACCAATAAAAAATAACATAATTGAATTGATAAGCTTTCATTAATCAAAGTTTGATATACAAACAGTGACACATGCGATATACATTCATAAACAGTACATCCTGAATCTACAACATGTGTTACGAGATAGTGAAAAGAAATGAAAGCTGAACAGATAATCATATGCCCTAAAGGCTTACATTTTTCCAAGTCAGTGCTTGGGTACATCAAAAGTGAATCTTAAGCTCAATACAAATAAAGCCCCAAGCTTTTACAAAATTAAATTCAAAATAACAAAACTGAGTCTTCAGCTCCGCAGTCCTCCCAAGCTAAGTCCTTGGTGGAGGCATATCACCAGCACCTGAAAATGGTTTTCCCATATAGGGTAAGCCAAAGCCCAGTAGAAATAATCCACACAATATATGAATCTTAACAGAGATATAAGGGTGAAATGCACATGCAATGCCCATGTCAAAACATTTTAGATTTCTTTCCCAAAAACCATGCCATGCTCAATTTATATCACAATCCTCAATTCATGCCCTTTACAATAGAAAACAAAGGGAAAATATCAAACCAGTACAATCTTTCACCGATATTTCATCCGCTAGAAACTATCAAACGACACCCATGTAAACGTAGCCTATAAAAGCACTACTATTGCCATTTTACAAAAAAATTGTCCATGGGAATCGGCACCCATATATACGCTCATTTTTCAGGACTTTCACCCTAGACACACAGGGTAATTTGATTTGGTAATAACACCTCTTTCCCACGTTCACCTCTTTTTCTCAAAATCATATACATTTTCAATGTATTAAATAAGAAACAATGTTCAACATGGATGAGAAATTAGTTTTAGTTCACCTAATTCTCATGCAATTTCTATAAAACTCATAGTTATCCTCCACCGATAGCCCAAAACAGATATCTCTAATAAATAGAAAGATTTCAATAACAATATACATTATTATCATTTCCAAGATGTGAGCGATATAATATATCCAACTCCACCATCATCATAAATATCATCCATCACCATCATCAAGACATGAGCAATATTACAAAACCAACATCATCCTTCAATATTTTTTCCAAACACAAGTCAAACCCATGGTTTTAAAGCAAAACCCCCTTTTCTTTCAAAATCATTTTTGAGTAGAGAAAAACATCATTCCAATTTCATAAAACCCAACATCATTTCCATTATCATTACAAGATCAACATTTGAGATTTCTAGGGTAAAATCCCCTTTTTCTTTACAAATCATTTCCATTTACTTCATCATATATCAACAAACACCTTTCTACAAGCACTTCTAACAAACCATTTGAAAACCCCTCTTTTGATTTCCAACCAAAACCATAGATTTGCCCAAAATCTCCAAAAATCACAATATTGTTTTAAAAATATCAAATAACTAAGTTAAGAATCATAGGAGGGTGCGGAGAATTCCTACCTCAAACTTAGAAGAGGGAGAATGAAGAAAAGCCCAAACGTTGACGTTAGTGAAACAACGATTTTCTCCGATCAAAATGAAGCTCTCGAAAAGCTCTACACTTAATCTGAATGGAGCAAGGTCAGGAGATGCTTCTAAGTGAGTAGATCTAGAGATCTTTGAGTGAAAAAGTGAATTTAGAGAGAGAGAAGAGTGATTCACGGTTTAGAGAGGGAAAATAAAAGATAAAGTGAAGAAAATGGTAAGTGACGGCCCTATTTATAATGCTAGGTTAAAGTGAAATAAAGTCCCAAAGTCAACCTAAAAGAACAAGTCAAAATCCCCAAGAAGTAGGACCCAAAACCGAACTAAAAAAAAAACTCACAGAGGACGACCTTTATGTCGGTGGTGTCGACCCTTTAAGAAGAATTGACAAAACGACAATGCTGGTAGCAGACAAGGTATCGACCCTTGGACTGGAGGTCTCGACACTAAATTTAAGCAACTAAACCTAGATTTCACAGTAGACAAATGTCAACCCTTCCCAGACTGGTGTCGACCCTTGAGGCCAACAACAAAAGACAAGTGTCGACACCACCAAGGCTAGTGTTGACCCTAAATTTCAGTATCTATTCCAAGAACATAGCAATGAGATAGTGTCGACACCTCTAAAGCTGGTGTCGACCCTAGGAGCACAACAAGACAAAGAAAAGAAGGCAGTGTCGACACTAACAAGGATGGTGTCGACCCCTGAAGCCAAAACCAAACATAAAGAGAAAAAAATGACCGCCACGAATTTGGTTTCCCGGATTCAAAAACAATAAATGTCTCTGTCTTAGGGCTAAACAAAACAAAACACAGAGCTGAGTAGAAAACAAACGGGAATTTCAAATTTTGGGGAAAAATTAAAAAAAAAAATGGTGAAAACGACGTCGTTTTCACCAAAACGACGCCGTTTCGAAAAGGGCGACAGGGAGGGCGACAGGAAAGTGCTACCGAAGATCTGTATTCGCCCTCTTAATGCATCCGATGAACATAATATATACATATATATATATATATTGTGAATCTAGGTTTTTATCAAAACTTTAGTTGTTTTCAAATTGGATTGGGTCTCTACAAATTAGATATAATATATAAAAATATATTATAACTAATACCAAACTAAATCAAACTCTTTTAATAAATCAATTTGGATCCCACACTCCATTAAGGAGGTATACCCAACATCCCCAACTTAAAACAGCAAAAACAATTTAGTTTGATGTTTGATCAAATGTAGTGTCGATAATCTAATAACCATTAGAAGACAGGTTTAGGTTCTGAAGTGTAAAAGAAAGGCCCAACAGAGTACAATTTGATGTTTTCATCCTTGAGAAGACGAAAAGAAGAAAGAGGAGCGCCGCTAATTCCTTTGTTGACATCAGCTGGAACTTTACAGGTCTCCAATGGAGATTTTTCAAGTAATACCTTGCACTCTGTAAGTTTCCATGCATCTTCAAGCTCATAAGGAGACACTGTAGTAGAGAAATATCCCTCTGAGTTGGTTGGGTGACTCAGGACAGAAAAAGGAGCCGATTCATACCCGTTCTTATTAACAGCTTGGCATGTAATTCATGCCAGAGCTCCTACAACATAGTGGAAAAACGAAGACAATCTTTATCCAGCAATCCAAATGGCAATACAACTTTGACACCATATCTACCACCGAAAAAATAAAATAAAAATAAATATACATTTATGCCCATGTAATAACATTTTATACAGAGCAACATTGCTGTTAGTTAATCTATTTGAACAACTAATCAAAAATCTACTACATATGACACCTGCATGTGATAAGTGATGGTTGCAGCAAAACTAGGTGTGCCATGCACCATTAGTGTCTAGTAACAGGCAATGATGTTACATCTTGATATAGTATAACTACCTTGAAATTCTTTTATGACAGGGAAAAAAATGGTTATCATGTGTGGAAATTACCTTCAAGTGGAATGAGTTTAGGGCCAGACTTACAATAAATGAGTCCTTGAATGCCAGTGATGCAGGGTAGCAGCTTTCCTTGTGTCATAGGTTTCTCAAGCTCTCGCTTTGAAGCATACCCATAACCATTTGTCTTGGGTTTATCAAGTTGTGGCTTTGGGACAAACTCATAACCACCCGTCTTTGGTTTCTCAAGCATTGGTTTTGGGGCATTAGGTTTCTTGAGCTCTGGTTATGGAGCATACCTTGTATATGTAGTGGGTTTCTTAAGCTCTGGCTTTGGGACAAGAGGAATAATCTTAGGTTTCTCGAGCTTTGATTTTGGGGCATACCCTATTTTAGGTTCTTCAAGCTCTCGTATTGGGACATAAGGAATAGTCTTAGGTTTCTCAAGCATTGGCTTCGGGGAGGCATACGCATACCCCATCATAGGTTTCTCAACCTTCGGCTTTGGGACATAAGGAATTGTCTTAGGTTTTGGATCATACATTGTCTCAGGTTTTTCAGATATGGCTTTGAGATATAAGCAGTGGTCTTAGGTGGTTTTTTGGGTGTGCCCTAAGTCAGGTTTCTCAAGGTTTGGGTTTTGACTATAACTAGTGGTCTTAAGTTTCTCAAACTCTGATTTTGGAGAGTATCCTAAGTTAGGTTTCTCAGACTTAAGGTTTGGTCTATAACCAGTGGTTTTAGGTTCCTCAAACTCTAGCTTTGGAGCATAACCTAAGTTACGTTTCTCAAGTTTAGAGTTCAGACTATAATCAGTGACCTTAGGTTTCTCAAACTCTGACTTTGGGGCATAACCTAAGTTAGGGTTTGGATTATAACTAGTGAGCTGAGGTTTTTCAATCTCCGATTTTGAGGCATAACCATAACCACTAGCAGAAGCCACAACCACCAATACTGAGAAGAGTAACATAGAGATAGAGAGCGGGAAGTGGGTGAAAGCCATTGATAAACTTGTTGTGTAATATGCATGGGATGGGCTTGGGATGGAAGGTAAAGGGTTTGAATGGATGGTGACGAAGTGTTTGTTTAGCTTAAATTGCCTTTTTTAAGGTGATTATACCAATATTTTCTTGAATTATTTATTAATTCTTATCCGTGTTTAGATAGCATATTCTCACATCTGTTAGCTAAATTAAAATACAAAAGCTACGTACTACAAATTGGTGGCACGATAGCATATATAAAAATCTGATGGATTGGGGGGTTTGAACCAATAAACGAGAATGCTTCACCTTCTTCACAACCATGAGAAATTGCATATCCTAGCATCCCACTACTATCCAATTACTATTAATTATTGAAAAAAATGTTGTAATGATATTTAAGGTAGACATTTTAAATATCAACAATGTTAGGCAGTTCAAAATTTTGTGACTCAAGTGACTCAAATCTGTTAAAACGACGTCGTTTTGAGAGATTTTGAGTGTAAAACGACGTCGTATTGACAGATTTAAGCCACAAAATTTTGAGCTACCAAACATTTTCCTTTAAATATATATTTTACTTGCAAATGAATGTTACATATGTTAAAAAGTGTAATTTGGAAATTAAATCACCTTGTTTGGTTTTAATTTTCTAGATTCACTTTTCAAAAAATTGAAATTTTTTATTTTCTGTATTTTTTTTGTTTTCACTGAATTTTTTTATATTTTAAGATATTTTTTTAATTTTTAGATACACCTAATATAAATATACTTAAAAGGTATAATATTTGTAAAAAAAAATTTAAAAATTCAGTGTATTTTTGTATTCTTGTATATTTATTGATTTTTTTAAATATTTTTTTATAAATATTTTACTTTTTAGATATATCTAAGTAAAATGTATTTAGAAAAGTAAAAAAACTTGAAAATTTTAAAATATTCACTAAAAAAATATAAAAAAACAAAAAACTTAATTTCTAAAAAATTGAAATCAAACAAAGTAAATATATATATATATATATATATTTCTGCTCACTTGACTCCCAATTTAAAGTTACTTTTTTTAGAAGGGTGATAAATTTATTTTAATTTATTTTTATTTTTTTATGAGAAAAAAAAAAGTGAATTTCAACTCATTTTTCAAAATAACCCTAGAAGACCCAGCACCAGCCACGATCAACGGTACAAGCGAAGCGACGGTGCAAACATCCTCCATCTGAATTTGTGGACCAACGCAATCAAAAGTTAATCTACTCAAATGGAAGTTACATAATTACCCTCCTGGAATACATGACTTACCGAGTATGACATTAGTTTTGTTTGGGACGTGTGTTAGTTTCTTAATTTTTTAATTATTTTAGTTTGAGATTAAAAAATTTTGTTTTGGATAAATTTTTTTGATTTTTTTAATTTTTGTGAGAGAAAAAATAAAATAATTATGAATTTAATGTGACATTTTATCATATTTGATTAAAATAGTATATTTTATCCTATATAACTATTTTAGCTCCAACTTTTATCCCAAACGGGGCATAAACCTGCCTAGCAAATCATGAGCAACCATAGCAAGATGACCAAACCGAGATAAAAAAAATTAAGTGAAATAATTAAAAGATAAAAGACTAAATTAGAATTCAAATGAAAATTTGAATAAAAATATAATTTATTTTTAAAATTTAAGTGAACTCATTGTAAGTTTTAATAAGTGAACTTCCTATGATAATTAATGACGTTTTTCATCAAATACAATTAATAAATGTCATTAATTGTTAATTTTCAGCGATAGTTTCAAAATTGTCACAAAAAAGTCACTAATTATAAGTTTAGCGACAGTTTAAAAAAAATAATCACAAAAAAATCACTAATTTTAACTTTCAGTGACAGTTTAAAAAATTCGTCACAACAAAACAACATCAAAATGGCCAAAACGACGTCGTTTTGGCCATTTGAGCCACATTTGAGCCACAGAATTAGGGCCCCCAAACATTTTTCAGTTTCATGTGATCACAATTACTGAAAGTGCATCCTTGATCATCTAATGAAATCTAAGACAAATTATGACATTGATTGGGATGTGGATTGATTTTTTAAATTTTTTTATTATTTTAGTCTGTGGTGAAAAAGTTTTAATTGCGATATATTTTTTAGTTTTTTTAATTTTTGTGAAAAAAATAAATAAAATAATAATGATTTGGATATGACATTTTGTCTTTTAATTTTTTAGTTTATTTTATCTTTTTGTTACTATTTTAGCCAAAAAGTCCTAAACTCCTTTGTGCCAAACGAGGGCTATATATAGGTCTTAATAATTAGATTTAATTCATATAAAATCCTATTGAAAATAAGTACTTATAAAATCATTGGTAAAAATAATTTTTAATGACGATTTTTTACGCATGTCGTTAAAAATTGATAATTAGTAACTTTTTTTGTTACGATTTTTATAAATTGTCGTTAAAATATAAAAATAGTGATTTTTTTGTGACGAATTTTTTAAACTGTCACTGAAAGTTAAAATTAGTGATTTTTTTGTGATTATTTTTTTTAAACTGTCGCTAAACTTATAATTAGTGACTTTTTTATGACAATTTTGAAACGAAAAATGTTTGGGGGCCCTAATTCTGTGGCTCAAATGTGGCTCAAACTATACCATTACAAATTCAACGGCCCCAATCATCTTGGCCAGTGTCAGCCCCTTTGAAAGACAATGTTTACAAATAAATATATTTTACAAATTTTTTTTATTCACAAATTCAATATGTACTAAAATTTTAGTGCAAGTAAAAAAATATATAAAATTAATTAATTTATGGATAAGAGAGTCTTGTTACGTTGTACCTATCGAGGTGGTCATTGTTACGAGGAAAAAAAATAAAATTGATTTAATATTTGTTACTATGTGATCAGATTATAAAATTATGTAAAAAATTAAATAACAAGTATAATATTCATTGTTACGAGGAAAAAAAATAAAATTGATTTAATATTTGTTACTATGTGATCAGATTATAAAATTATGTAAAAAATTAAATAACAAGTATAATATTAAAAATAAATAATTTACTTTCTTGAGTGATTTTATGACGTACTCATATGATAATTAATATTTGAATAATTTCATTTTTTAACATAAATATAAAATAATTAATTTAAATGATAAAAATGGGCTTGAGGTGTGGACAAACAATGGGCCAGTGGCACTCTTAAATGAAATCATATAATATATATATTATTAAAATTAATATTTTTCTAATACTTTGATAGCACATTATGAAGGCCTTCTTTTTTTCTAAGAGAGCCATATCAGTATGTATTTTCTTAATTACATATAGTGTTCTACACAAACCTAAACTTAATTTAAATTATACTAACTTTATCTATTTTATATAGACTCTATTTGATAAATATTTTTTTTAATATATTTGTCATGATAAATGAGATAATCCACAAACCCAATACTAACGTTTTTCTTTTTAATTCTTTCAATGGTATTAGAATTTATTTTCTTTAATGCTAAATTGCCTTCTTTTTTTCTTTTTTTTTTTTTGAAAATTTGACCATAAACCACTCCTAACTTCCTTTTCTTGTTAAAAGGATAAAAAAAAAAAAATTAGTACTTTCAATATTTTATTTGACCATTAGACCATCTCTTTCTTCTCTTTCTTTTATGACACTCTCTCTATCTTCACCAACTTAATGGTTGTTTATCGCTTTTACCATCTTCATCGTCTCCTGACGTCGCTCATCCTCATCGTCGGCTGACAACCACAATTTTTACCGTCAAACCATCACCATCTCGGATTTGAGACTTACGAAGTTATATTTGAGATCAATAACTTCAGATCTAAGATAAAAGAACTTAGATTTGACAAAAAAAAAGAAGAAAAGAAATCAATATATTGCAATGGAAAATCAATAGTTTTTTGTTTGTTCATAAATCTAAAAGTAAAATTTGACTTTGATTATTGATCTAATATGTACTCTTTTTTTTGTAACAGTCAAATTTTATTTTAGTTAACAACATGTTGATTTGCTTAACGACAGTAAAATTTTACTTTGAATAGTAATAAATTTTTCTCTGATTCAGAGTAAAATTTTACTCTTATTTATTTATTTATTTATTACAAAGTAAAATTTTACTATGAAATAAGCTACGGTGATGGCTTTATAGGAGAATGTAGTGTCATGAACCAAAGTAAAATTTTACTGTTCGAAGAGCTGAGCATTATGAGAAGAAGATAGAGAGATGGAGAGAGAGTATCATGAGAAG